AGGTCTTCATGTTGTGAAGGCGGTGCTGGTCTTCAATGGCGCAGGAAACGCACACACAGGTCTTATCATCCAGGCAGTAGTACTCCAGGAGCTTCCCATGCTGGGGACATTTGGTGTTCCCATCTATAGCCATGGGCTCAGTCAGAGGATGAGTCTGCAGTAACACAGGTGTGGTGAGGTGGGCCTGCAGGTGCTGGACGCACATGGAGATCTCACATTTCATGCAGGTCTTCCGTGCCGATTTCCTGTCCCCTGTACACATGTCGCACAGAATGCTGGATGAATCTTTCTGAACGTTGTCAGACATGTTCTCAGGAAGATCCTCGAAGGAGCTGTTCTTGCGTTTTTCTCCTCGCTTCATTTTCTATATCCCAAAGCAAGTGTTCTCAAATAAGTTTATGAGTCTAACTCCTCTAAGTTATGTCATCAGCTCTTTTGTTTCCTGGCCAATGACCCACCCACACAGATAAAAAAATTTATTGTTTAACAACAGTACAAAAGAACAATGGTGCCATTGAATAAAAAATGACTTACAGTTCTTATCGATGTGGAATAGTAAACAACATACTGTAAAGGTACATTTAGTTAAAAGTAAAGCAATGTATATGTTTTTTGTTTTTTTATTGAAACCATTTTCAAAAGAATACAATATAATTTAACATTCTGGAGGTCTAATACAGTGTCTAGCAAAACTATGAATACCTCTTCATATTTTTTCACCTGTACAGCCACAAGCCTCATTGTGTCTGATTAGGATTTTATGTAACAGTCTGACACAAGGTATTGCATGTTGTGAAATGTGACCAGAACTCCTTCTTCCACAGGTTTCTGTGGCCTGGCTTGTCACAAACTGCAGACGGGACTTCTCATGACTTCCTTTCAACAATGACTTTTTTCTTACCACTCTTCCAAAAAAGACGTGGTTATAGAGCTTAGTATGTAACTTCAGAAGGAAATAGTTGTAATGTATTTTATTTTTTTACATATCAGAGTATCTTTTCATTTGCAAAATATTTGACAATATTGTGTCCATCTGAACTGTTACATAAAATAAAGTAAAAAATACATTTTGGGGGGAAAAAAACACAAGGGGTTTGAATATTTTCCAGTCACTAGCCTGTAGATTGAAGAGTTTCACCAATTTAAACTTAATTTTTAGAAGACCAACTTCTACAGTGTTAAATATGGGTTAAAGAAGTCAGTACTTATATTTATAATGAAATTGTGACATTAACTGTTTTATATTGCAGAGAACTAACCATAAGAATTTTTCCTCCTTTGATGTTTTTTTTTAATGCTTCTTTTAAGCGAAAATCACAATGTGAGCAGCACTAGCTCACTTGATTTCGCGGCTGGTGAGAAGACATCCCAGTTGCTGTTGATCATGTGGTGGCTCTAAGGTGGCTTAAAAGATCAGCAGGAGCTAAAAGACATATTTTCCCACTTTAGTTTGACCCGGTTGAAGGAAGTAGAAAATCCAACCTAAAACAAAAGGTAAGATCAACATTTTGTGTTCTATTGTTCTATAAAGGTGAGCAGGTAATGCTGGGAGACTCAAATTTTAACTGGAGAGCCGTTAGTGGCTAAAGCTAACGAGGCTTCGGCTAGCTAAAATGATACTTGAAATACGCCCGCGCTCAAGCTAACAGGCTAACGGATTAACTGAAATATGCGATGTTGTAGGAAGTTATGAATAATTAACACGATGTTGGTTCAATTAGCGTTGTTTTTAGGATAAACACAGCGGTCAAAAACAACACAATTAATTATTGAAGCAAACTACTATTCAATTTCTTCTCTCTCTCTTCGCCATTGTACTTATAATCCCAATTTACTTTTGGGGAGTAGATATTAAACCCTTCTGCTTCTCGTCCTCAGCTATACATTTCAATATCAATATACAAGTTTCCTTATACTCTGAGAGTCTCAAATCTGATTTTGACATTTTTCTGTCTTCCATGTGCATGGAAATAACGTGTTCTTAATGCACTCGCTAAAAGTTAACTTTTAAACTTAACTTTTCAGAACTCAAAGTAAAAATATATCTATGAATTTATTTTTTATTTCAAATTTACTTGTACTCCTGACCCCTCTAGGAATAAGGGTGTAAAGAAGATGGATGGAATGGAATTTACTTGTAATACAGATGAGTGTTGAAGAACACAAAAGTGAGCAAAAACATTCAAAAAGATGCTGAAACATAAATATTTCACATTGTAATTTTCTCTTAAAATTAGCCGTCTCCTTTACCACATGAGTACAGGCTGACATTGCTAAAGGTCATTACGCAGACTAGACTGTGAACTGTGCAAAGGTTGGTCTGTCTCATAAACAATTTGAGCACTGAATGTGCTTCGGACAACTAGAGTCAGATTGATTTTGCCCACTGATTCAGAAAATAGTAAACTCAAATTAGTTCACATTCTGTATGTTTCTAATCTCTCTGTTTGTCTACTTTGCATAGAAGTTGACTACGATGAGGCAACTCGCTGACAGAACGAACATCAAACCCATACAGACTCCCAGTTCTCTTGAAGGCAGCCAGTCGGCGTTGGGTATCGCAGTGCCTCTGTGGAGCCCCCGCATCTGTCTCCCCCTGCTCTCTGAGGATAAAAGGGTGTTGTGGGTTCATGCAAATGAGGTTAACGTGCAGACAGATAAAGTGGCGGAGCTCGAAAGTGCCTTTAGCAGGTCCCCCTATCTGACACGCAAACAGACTAATGCTCTAGCCCAGCGCTGCTCCCTGCATCCAGACCAGGTGAAGGTGTGGTTCATAGCGCAGAGGCTCCGCTACGGCATCAGCTGGGACTACAAAGACATCAGGGAGATCTGGAACAAGTTGAATTCCAATCGCAAAGATGAGGAAGGAGATGAGGAGTTCCAAGACTTGGTCAAGGATGACCAAGTAAAGAGCAAGAAGACGTCTTTGATGGAACGAAAAGTGAATTGGAATATGGAGCAGGAGAGACCGACGGAAAAAGAAACGGGCAGAAGAGCGATGGAGAACGAAGCCGCCACTCCAGAAAAGCTCAGAAGACACGCAGTCATGTCAAACAGGAGAAGGAAAAGAATGAAACGAGATGTCGAGTGGATCACCGATCAAGCAGAAGAACTAGGAGCGAAAATGGATACATCTGAGAATGAGGAGCAAACATCCAGCACGTGGGGAGGAGCATATGTCTCCAAGATAAAAAGAAGAGCACACACAAAGCTGATCTCCAGCCCAGTTAAAAACGCCTACGAGAATCTTCTTGTCGAGGCTGAAATCCCATTTGTTGACTTCTCTTCCGTCGTTCTCCAGCCTCAAGCCCAAACCTCTACCGCTGTTCCCGTAACAGAGAGCCAGTCAGACCTGCAGGGCAGAAGGATGACTTCGCTGAAGAGCAGCTTGGAGGAGAACGCCGACGCACTGGCTTGTCTGGAGGAAGCTCTGTCTTCTGAACCGCCAAAGGAGAACAATGTCGTCTCCGAAGTGGACGAACTAAAGGAGCTCGTTAAGGCCGAAAACAACTTTCTTACTGCCAGCAGTCCGACCGCTGGGAACAGCCAGGAGGAAGTTCTCTTGGCAGAAGGGGCAGTGCTGCGTCCCCGCAGCAGACTGAAGACGCAGTCTCAGCTGCTGATGCTGAGGAGGGCCTTCCTTGAGTTCCAGTACCCCGACGCCGAGCAGTACAGCATGCTGACCAGGCTGGTGGGCATACAGCGCCACCATCTGGTGCAGTGGTTCGGTGACCGGCGTTACTCGATAAAAAAATCCAAACCTCGCTGGATGACGGAGGAGCAGTACAACGAGATACTGGCCAACATCAGGTACCGGCAATACAAAAGCATCCTGGTAAAGGGACTGCTGGAAGAAACTGAATGACGGCGCGGCCTGGATTATTGCAGGCTGAGAAGGAAAGTGCAAAAGAAGCCTTTTCTGACACATGAACAGTTTGTTCTGTTGGGTTTTTATTGAAGGACTTGAGAAAAAGATTTCCATCAGGTTCTTTAAATCTTTGTTTTGTTCTTATACTTTCAGTTTTTGTGGCCGGGTTTGTTTGTGTTGAAATGCTGCAGCTGAGGTGCAACTTTATGTTAGTGAGCTTGTTTGAGCTGTAAATTTAATTTTATTTTTTTATAAATATATACACTAATTAAAGTAAAAGTCCTTTTGAATAAAAACCCCTAAATGGTGATTGTTCTTTTCCAACTCAAAATTATTTATACATTCCCTTCTGAACACGGCAGAAATGTAGGTATATTTTATTAAATGACACATAACCTTAATGTTTCTTAATCCCCGATGTAAATCCAACTACACGGTTAGGATAACAAAAAAACATTCAGATTATCTCAATGTCAGAATAAGAACAGAGCAAAAAATTATTTAGGGATTTGTTAACATTAAAGTCTCATCCTAAATGTATAAGACTTTAAATCCCTACCGAACCAAGAGGACCTGGTTCGGTAAACCAGGCCCTCTTGGTCTGGTTTACCGAAATAACATTTTGACTAAAGTGAATTAAAGATTTAATCAGTTACTTGCATATATTTACCATACACATATTTTTGATTAATTTATATGAATGTTAACATTTTTAATTTGGTAAATTGACCTAAAGCATCACATTTCTAAAAAAAAATTATTTGACAGATTGCTGGAATAATTGGCCATATACAAGAAACATTTACAAAGAAAATCATTTTTTTTAAAAATAGGACATTTCAAATATATTACATAAATATATTGCACAAAATAATTTCCAAAACAATAACAATGATGTAGCATTTATTTTCTTATTAAGCTACATAGTGCTGCTCTGACTGTTGCTTTTTTCCCCCTCCCTCCAACCTGTTTTTCACTTTTAGGCTTAAGAAATACTGTCATGCCACAAATCATTGTAAATGATGTAGTCAACATGCAGGCCTCAAAAGATCCCTGAGGTCAAACACCAAGGTCTTGTTTCAATCATAAACAACACCTTCAAGATATTCTAAAAGAATGAATACTCACTCATTAAAAATACAAAATTATGCATCCGTTGATATTGTGTGGTTGTTTCAGATTCCCTTAAGGAGGAAATCATATTTGTAAAACTGTTAACCAGTTAAATGTCCAATTGTAGGGGAAAAGTCAAAACATTTTCATTGTGGGTCGGGGTTTTAATGCCAGGTGGCTGCGTACTCGGCCCTCTGCGGCTGCCAGAGCTCAGTGCCTTCGATGACGCGGCGGATCATGGATGCAGAGGTGATAAGCAGGTGCCCAGCGGCCTGAAGGAGGGTGGAGGCGAGACGCAGCACTTCCCTGAAAACACGACCAACGTCATACAGTTATCAGCTTCAGGTTGCTCACTAAAGTACATGTAAGATTTGTACGAGCCTGAGAAAGTCTAACCACAGACGTAGCTTTGGGACGTCAACAAAAATCTAATTTGAATAGCCTAACACCTAGAGAACAAGCTCAATTTTGAAATTAATAACTCTCAGAAAAGGGCTATGTATAAAAACATTCAAGCATTTAATATCTTAGAAACACAATGATAAGCTTTTTTGTTACACAGAAAAGGTGAAAAGTCTATTGCTCTTACAGAAAACGTTCTTAACGGTTCAACATCCGGGTTTAATCAGCTAATGTTAAAAAATACAATATTTCTAAGCTGTCGGTCACAACCTTTGGATTGATCTTCATAACCTTTTGAGAGCTATTGAGAACTATTTTATGAGCTAACAAAAAAAGCATTACCCACACCAAGAAAGATATTTTATGAATTAGGGAAATTAAAAAATTCCACTGTAATTTTCTTTAAATAAATGATCCCAACACCCTTTTTTATGTTTGGAAAGATTTACCAGTGAGGAGGTGCCACTTCATAACATCTGTGACCCACTTACCTGAGGACCTTCTTGGGCCCCAGACACTGAAAGTCGGCGCTCACAGAGTACAGGCCTTGGAATGTGGCCTTCACACTCAGCGAGCCAAACACATCCTTGGGGCTTATCTTGTAAAGGTCAAAGGTGACTCGTGCTATGTCTCTGCCGGTGCGAGGCTTGTCGTGGTTTTTAAGCACAACTGCACCCTGTGGAGACAGAAACCATGGATCAAACCCAAAAGTGATGTTGCCGATGGAGGAAAAAAAATCAAACCTAGCATATAAAGAGATACTAGGAGCCTCTAGAAAGGCGTCTGACTTACCGCTTGCGGTTTCCATGTCTGTCCTGGCTCCAGGGCCATGAGCACAGTGTTGTCCGGTAAGGTCATGAGGAACTCATCAGAGTCTACTTCTGTACCGTCCTCCTCACAAACCAGGTACACGGATGCTGCAGAAATGGTCAGCAACAAAGCCTGGCACACCTAACAGACGGTATTATAACTCTCAGTTAGGAAGACTTTAACGCTGAGGTTCAGTTTAATCATCACCAAAAATCCTGAAAATATAAACTGTGAATACCAACCGGGATGCACAATTGTTGTGTTTAAGCCAGGCAGGGAAACTACATTCAAATCCACTGAAATATTTTAAAAACTGGCTCACAACTGCAGCTGAGAGTCAGATGAAGTTGTGTGTTCAGTGTGTTACTCTGGCTTAAATGTAGACTTAATATATATCTGCATAAATATATTGAAAGAACACATGTCCTAACATTTTCACAAAACTGCATGTCGTAGTTGAAGCAAATCATTTATTTTAGGTTCATTTAAGTCTAAAGCCTTTCTTTAGCTCTTAATTTCATCATAATTCATGCTATTATTAGGAAACTGATGTTGTTCTCACCCTCTCTTTCAGCTCCTCCAGGGTTCCTGCAGTGATCCCTTTCTTGGTCTCCCTTCTGTTGCAGCAGATTCTGAAAGGTCGCTGGGGCGGGGACCAGACCCGTTTGGTCACAGACCTGACAATAAATCAGGGAGGGAAGCAAACAAATCATGTTAATGTTGTTGTTGTTTTACCCCAGGTACTGACATTTTGACTTTATATAATAAAAAAGCAAAGATCTTTTTTTAATCACACATAATGTCCGACTCTGATCTCCCAGTAAATCCGAGTATAAGGCATCAATCAGTATTTCTTATTGATTGATGCCTTATATGGCATCAATCAATAAGAAACAAGTCAAAGTAGAGTTTCAACTTACTTGAAGAATGACGACGTTGTATCCATTCTCCTCTCTTTCCTCCTCTCTCTTCTTGCTTGTCGGGTGTTTTGGTGTGACAAAGTGTCTCTGTGTGACCCATGAGCTGGACTTTGCCTCAAACCGGTCGATAATGCAAAAGCAGAACAGAGAAGGGCAAAGTTCATGGTGGCTGTGACTAAGTCAAGCAGGTCATAATACCTCTGATAACTGATATGGGAGGGTAAGGCTAATCAACTCTTACAATTTTTTTGTTTAAATGAACATTTGATAGAAGAATCCCTTTTATGTGGACAAACAGACTTCGGTTTTAGTTTGTTTTTCGTCAAATTCAGCTGCCATGTAATTTGTATTTATTAACACGTCATATCTCAAAGTAATCTGATAAAAGTCTGCTTTTGCTGATACCTACATCAACACCTATATCCTGTTATGTGTCTGAAGATGATATTTTGACATAGGCAAATCACTTATCATAGTCAGCACAACATTATAGATTTTAAGTGTAAAAGAGAGACTTATGTGGGCGTCCAACAATTTTGCAATGTGGCCTTTGTGTTACTTGTTCTTCAGCATATTTAGGTGTTTCCAAAATTTATTTATTAAAAACTATCAGAACATGTACGGCAAGCAAAAGTGAGACTAGGAGAAACCTTGGATTTAATATATTTTAATGTTTTCATTTTTATTATAGCTATCTGCCTTGCTTCTAGCCTACTTATGAAATGTTTATTATTCAAGTTGAGTAAAGCCTTAGAAACACCTGGCAAAAACGTCAATCAAAACCAAGGTAGAAAACTGTAAAAAGAAACATCTAAATCTCAACACATTTGTACCTTTATTTCCTGCTAATGTATGCACAATTATTCGTAATGATCTAGTTGAATTGGCTCGTAATACTTTTTATTCCTTCTTTTACCTCCCCACCAACCCACCTGCCAAACAAAGCAAAAAATCTACAGGTCAGTGAATAATAACACAGAATAGACCCATTATGTCTTCTTTTTCTTGAAATTTATTGGTGGTAGCATAAAAAAAAGTTAGGTGAACATTACAGCCACCAACCGGTAAACCCGTTATGTCTCTGAGTTATCATGCTGGTCTGGCGGGTGAAGTTACTACGTCATATCCTGAAAGTTATTTTAGGTGTGCTCATTTACTAAGCATTAGTTCCCACCCGAGCGGAGTTTGAAGTTTAGGCCATGTTTCGCATACAGAGCCAGGAAGCACCGCCCGTTCGGCACATTCGATGAGATTATTCAAACTATTACAACTACTTGAAGGCGGGAGGCAGAGAAGCGGAACTTTTGACAGAAACTTGTTCAGTTTGGCTCGTAACTGATTAACAACAAATAGCGCGGTTGTTGTTTCACGATAGGTACTTTAAATCCACCTGACACGGTTAAAGTTTGCACAGTTGTGTTTGCTGACTGAATTCGCTAACGTTCGTCGTTAGCTCTGCGCCAGTTTTCTACAGTAACTTGACACTGCTAAGCTAACTTTTATTAACGTCAGATATATATATATATATTTTAGCTAAACGGATTCTCTGGGATGGCTACAAGAAAACCGAAAGAAAATGGTAAGTGGAAAACTGAACATTTGGACTTGCTAAATGTTTATCGCTCGCTAACGTTGATAAGCACTGTTGAAGTTTGTCAAAGTTAATGTTTTGGTAGTTCTGAATGGCTATAATACACTCTACTACAACTAATGGTTCTGTAAAAACCTCATAAGTTTGTTGGAAGATATCAGTGACGAAAGTGTCATGGAAACCATGGAGAACAGCAGATATGTCGGAGATAAAGTTATGGGGACGTTTAAAGCAGACAGCATATAGGTGCTCGAATTTTACGAGTATACTTCTACACACCTGAATCAAATCACTGGCTCATTAACAGCTTGACCGATTTCAAGAGTTGGAGAAGAGAGGTTTGTGTGTGCATTTCTTCAGTCTTAAGAAAAACCTGGCTCGACGGGGTCAAATACAAATGAGTGGCACACATTTAAGAGACAGAGGTCTAAAGAGAAGTGGCAAAAGCAAATGATGTGGCTGAGCAGTCCTTGCCAACAACCGATGGTTCCATCAAGGACATGTTGCTGTGAAATATCGTCTCTCCTGCCTGAACGTTGAGCTGTTACCATGTCATGACAGTATAATACAGCAACAATCTTCAGTCAGAGGCCTCTTCAGATTCGTTGCAAGGCTGACTGCTAGCAGAGATCCTTCCTTCTCACATTATCACCATCCACAATGACTCTTTGAAGATATGTGGGTGATATGAGTTAGAACAACGTTTACGTTTTTGTTTGGAGAAAAAAGAAATCTGAATTAGATTTTTTTTATTTGCTATAAAAATGTGCAAGGTTTTTCATCTACTTATCAATTTTGGCATGAAATTCTGATAAACTACATTTTTAAAAAAAAAAGTGCAAGGAGGGTTGAATTTGTTAAGGGCACTGAGGGTTTTATAGTTTAAATTTGTAAACCCTTTTGTTTCCTCTGCAGATGCCAGCCTTCCCTTTGCTGCTCTCCAGCTCTTGGCCCCTCCCGTCCGCCTGGTGTCAGCGGCGCTCTGGAAGGTGCTGAAGCAGAGGGATGTGATGCAGTACGGGGTCGTGGAGGAGTTTGTGTCTTCGGCCTGTGAGACCGTTCCTGGCCTGCTTACCCTGCGACACCAGGGCAAGCTAGTGCTGGGCCTGAGAGCACGGGTGACTATTCACTGATGGATGAGTGGTAATTATAAATCTTCAGTTTAATACATTTCTTACTAATCCATTTTCCTTCTTTCTTGCCAGTTAATATTAGAGTTGTGTCTCAAACAGCCAGACGTTGACGTGATTGCACCACATCTGGAGAGGATCCGTGTTCCTGCTCCTCTTTCGTCTGGATCAGCTGTGGTAAAATGGAGACGGAGTTCAAATTTACATCAAAAATTAAATTTTTTTCTGCCAATGGTTCGATTTAACTACATAACTACAACCAAGTGTAATCCAGCTTGGATTGCTTATTTGATTAAAAATGGGCATTATTTATTTAACTGAGTGAATTGAGTTGTGCAGAATTATAGAAGCAAATAAGTTGAACTGTTTTTGTAAACAAGGGAAATAAAATGAGCCCAGCTCATTCTACCTATAAAAAAGCAGCATAAAGGCAAAATGTACTTCAGCTACTCATTCAGGGAAGCACATATTCAGACTTGGTACCTCTAATAAACATTTTTTATGTTAATAATAAAAGTTAGTTGTTTTTAGACAATGCAAGCATATTTTTGCTCATCAGCACTTGTCTTGTCTTTTGACTTTTTTTGTTTGCTTGTAGAGAATTCTAATTTAAAGAAAAGAAAAACCCTAGTCTCAGTAAAAAAACCCAAAACAATAGTTTTTCAGGTTTTGTAGTTGTTTCTACTTTAATGGGTTGTTTTACATGAAAAACATGCACTTTGCGTTCCTTTGTCTTCCAGAAGAAGGATGTGAAAATTCAGAGAACGGTGGAAAGTTTCCATGTTTTTGTTCAAACGCTGCTAACAAATGAAGCGGAGAGAGAACATTTCTTTAAAGTGAGTATCCAGCCATCAACGCCCCACTGCGTATAAACACCTGAAACGGTGAGCAGATGATTATCGATGTTTTTCCACTAACAGGAACAGTTCCCCACTGATTACGGCCCAAGGTTTGACCAGGAGCTGGAGAAGCTGTTGTGGGAATTTCTGATTCGCCTAGACCAGTTGCTCCCGGTTCCCAACCTAGCTCAGGTAGGCATCGACACACCCACGTTGACCTGGTGTTACCGTGTGCTGCTGTAGAGTAAAAACGACAGTAAAACGATGTGATTACAGACGGTGTCGTGGCTGTGTGACGCCCCGCCTGTCCTGGAGGAGTGTGCACAAGCAGCAACTCAGCCACAGCTTCTCAAGATCTTACTTCAACATCAGGCTTGTCTGGGTCACCTGGAGTCGGCAGGTAGGATCAGGAGCATTTGGGTTTATTGTTTTGTCCAACTGGATTGGAACGGAGGAGAGAGCATTTTATTTTTCCAAACAAATTAACCGAATTGGTTCTTGTATAGTTAAATGGATATCTTCAAAAGGAGAAATGCAAAAGAAGAAAATGTCTTTTTTTTTTTTTTAATGAATTTAGTTTTCAAAAAACTAAGACAATTGAATGTCCCATTCAATAAAAACACGGAACAATTTTAAATGGTTATTTTGATATTTGGGTTATTTTGTTTTTCCAACTCTCTGCTGGAGAGTTGTTTTTGTAACCAGTGACACGCCCACTCCATGCAAAATAAAGACAAGCCTTACATTAATGTCACTGTTAAGAATAATTACTGCTCTACACTGTCAGGTCAGCTTGATATTATAGAAAGCTTTATAGGTGAACTCATGAAACTGAACTGATTTCTGTAAATTGACATGAATTTGATGTCTAACTGTGTTCCTACACCCTGGAAATGTATTGAATTTGTTTTGTGTAAGATTGGAATAACTGTATAAAGAAAATAATAAAAGACACAAGTCTTATCACTGGTCTTTTTAACCATCCATCTCTATCCATGTATCTTTCCATCCACAGTAACAGTTTTGCAGACGCTGTAGGAATCTGGTTTCAAGAACTCCTGAGATTTCATTCTTCAAATGTGGGGAATTTTGACTGGACAAAATACGTTGAAACTCTAAATCCTAACAGGACTTTTACTCTGTGTCGTCTCCGTTCGCAGCGTCTCTCCCTCCAAACATGGGCGACTCCATCCTGGCTTCTCTCTCTCTGCCGCCATCTGGAAAAGTCCCATCGGATCAGTCGACCGCCGAGCGGACAAACTGCTCAAGGCCAGGAGCGACCACGCCGTTGGTCACACCCGTAATCGGACTCATTTCTAACGCCGACGTTCCAGCCAGGGAAAAAACCTCGCAAGGCAGTGAGAAATCCAACTCGAAAGACTCAGCAGACCATCAACGGGATCCAAATGCGAAATTCACCTTAGTCAAACGGAAACCCAAACCTGTTGGCGTGAGTTCCTCAAATGAAAGCAGAGGAAGGAAACGCAAGCTACCAGACACAGAAGAAAGTGACTCTGAGGAGGAAGTCATATCTGGGGAAAAAAGCATCAACGGGAACCAGAAAACCAAAGAAAAATCACAAACTTTACAAAACAACGGCTACAACAGAGAACTCCTAAATAGACATATAAGTAAGCTAGGCATCAAAAAGCTGCACCTGCCTGAAGATCCGTCCATCTGCTCTGTGTTTGCTTCCTGCCTGAGCAGCAATCCCAGAGTCGTTATCCGAAAACTGTCAGTTTCTTCTGCTAGCGTTAGCTTCTCTGGAGGAGGAGTGAAGTCCTTCTACAAGGAGCAGCAGCAGAAGAAGAAGAAGAAGTCCTCAACGTGGAAACAAGCAAGTGGCTGTCAAACGCCCGAAAGTCCTGGCCTGGATGACAAAGAGTAAGGTTTAAACAACAAGCTGCTAGTCGGCCTCCGGGAGTAAAACTTTGTTAATATCCGTTAAAATTACTTTTTCTATTCTGGGTTTTGTTTAGTGGCTGTTGATAATCTGTTATTGATCCATGTTGTTATCATTTGAATGTGATAGTCACACTTCAACGTAGCAATGAACCGAGTAATTGATTGGGTTTCTACTTTGTCCCGATGTCTGGAAATTTAAAACTTTGCTTTTCCAGTTTTCCAAATCTGGATAAGCATGGAGAAAGGAAAACTGAGGATGTTATAATTTCCAAACTTCATTCAGTATTCTATCATCTGGAAGCTTACAAAAAAAACAACAGTTAAAAAGTAAGTCCTATAGCAGTTACTAATTAAATTGCAGTTGTAAAGGAAAATGTTTTAATTCCTTTTAGTTTGGTTGCATTTATTCACACCTCCATCTCAAAAAGGTTTTGATTTGACCGTTTCTGCACATTTTCAGTGATGCAAGTAAAGCTCCGTAGCTTCGGGGCCGTTTCTCAGGCAGTTTCAGCTTT